ACACACACACACACACACACACACACACACACACACACACACACACATCACTAGTAAGTGCTTACACTTGAAGCAACAACTTGAGTTTTAATAAAATTATTAACAGACCAAGAGCTTTTGTTTTTGCATTTTGCCTTATTTCTTTAACTTTTCCTCCTTGCCCCACCGTCTCTGACTGTTTGCCCCTCCCTTTTGTAGACAAGTTTATGTTTGTTGGCCTTTGTTTTACCTCCAGCTCCAAAATCCTGAACTCCAGCAGCTCATTCTGGTCTTTGACATCCTGAATGTCATTTTTCAGCTGCAGCTCTTCATCTTCCATCTGTTGCACCTGCAGAAAATCAGAAACATTCAGTGTCACACAACAGAGCCTACCTGTTCTTGGTAGTACTCTGTCATTCAGAACTCACATTATTGACTCTTTTAATCTCATGCAGTCCATCACAGGTGCAACTTATGAAAAAGGACACACACTGGATCTTGTGCTGTCTTATGGAATAAATGTGTCAACTGTGGAAATCTGTGGAGTGTTACACTATTTTTGGACTGGTCCTATGGTTTTGATCTGCTCAAAAACGGAATTATAATGAAATTATGACCCGGTTCTGACTGTGTTAAACTGGGCCAGCAACTCTAAAGAGAGTCTCCCTGGGATTCAATATCAGTCAAGGAATAGTTTAATCTGCTTGCCACATAACGTAGAAGGCTTTTGAAGCACTGTTTCATATTTCCTAACATATCATAACCACATAAGATCCACTGAGATCACACTTAGTCACGCCCCCTCATACACTGACAGGTTGAGCTCCCCTTCTGCGAAGGCGGAGTCTAGGACCCTATAAATGAGTAATGACAGGAGACATCGGGGCTCTTCCGGGTCTGTGAACGCGTCAGACAGGAGAGTCCAGCGCTGTAAATTGTAACCTTTTCCTGCCTTGATTTTAATATAATTGGTAAAACTGAATTCACGCTTCCTTGATTTATTTTTTAGTATGAGTTGCCACTTCTGAGAGAGATAGTGCCAGAGGAAGTGGTGGGGGCTGGCTGAGGGTCCAGGGTCCGAGAGGAAGCCTAATGCCCACGGCTAGCAGTAGCTAGCTGCAGTGACTGATGACCCGCAGTCAGCTCCCAAACGTAACAGGAGCTTTTTTATCAGATCATCTACCAGTTCTGTTCACTGCAGTGGTCTCTAGTAGGAAGGAATGGGCTGGACCGTGTGTAAATTCTGCATGCACAATTAATTCAAACACCATGCTGCATTTCTCCACCGGCTTTAATGACTCTGTTTCCTGCAACCGTTCTGCTCTGTGTCCAATGTGGATGAGTTTACTGATCTTTTTATCCAAAAAAATTCAATCTGGTCCTCTGGACATTCAAAAAAACCAAAAACAAAACAAAGCAAAAAAAAATGTAGAAACGTTTCGTCTCATCCAAAAGTCTTCTTCAGTCTGAGGTGCTGTATTCAGCTCAGTCTCTTAAATAGCACCTTCTCAGAGTGGATCAATCAGTTTGCTGCTGACAACCAAAGCCAACTGCTCACATGGTCAAGAAGGCCCATCAGCCTAATAATGGATCATAAGCATACTGATGGCTGTTTACTATTCACAGGGGCTGAGTGAAACAAGTAATAAAAACATTGTAAGAGGGGGACAGTTGAACCCGGAGGCCTCCACCCCAACATTTTGCTGACCACATCAACTCTGTGGATAAATACATCAAGTTCACATGAGAAGATGTAAAAAATGGCAGGTTGGCTTTCTTGGACTGTGAGCTCTCAGTCTCTAATAGAGGACATTTGCAAACTGAGGTGTACCGCAAACCCACTCACACAGACCAGTGTTTGCAGTTTGACTCCCATCACCCTTTAGAGCACAAGTTAGGAGTCATCAGGACTCTGTATCACAGAGCAGACAGCATCCCCACTAACTCAGGAGCCAGGCAGAAGGAAAAATCCTACACAAGACAGGCTCTAGAGCAATGTGGATATCCTAACTGGGTCTTCCTGAAAGCAGAGAAGAAACCCAAACAGGACTCCAGTAAGCCATAAGGTGAAAAGGAGGAACCCAGATCAGTGGTCATTCCGTATGTTGAGGGAGTATCAGAGAAACTGAGACATTTATTTTCTAAACATAACGTCCCAGTGGCTTTTAAACCCCAAAATACATTATGGCAAAGACTGGTTCATCCCAAAGATCCAGTCCCCCGGCACAAACAGTAATATTGTGTATGCTGTTCAGTGTCAGGAGGGCTGTGATCATTCTTACATTGGGGAAATTAAACAGCCACTGGCCAAAAGGATGGCCCAGCACAGAAGATCAAGATCATCAGGCCAGGATTCTGCGGTCTACACTCATCTCCAGGTCAGCGGTCACTCTTTCAGGGATGAAGATGTTCACATCCTGGACAGAGAGGAACAATGGTTTGAGAGAGAAGTAAAGGAGGCCATCTTTGAAAATAAATTGTCCATCATTAAACAGGGGTGGAGGCCTCCGGGTTCAACTGTCCCCCTCTTACAATTCTGTGATTGCTAGTATCACTCAGCCCCCTGTGAATAGTAAACAGCCATCAGTGTGCTAATGATCCATTGTTAGGCTGATGGTCCTTCTTGACCACATGAGCAGCTGGTTTTGGTTGTCAGCAGCAAACTGGTTGATCCACTCTGAGAAGGTGCTGTTTAAGAGACTGAGCTGAAAACAGCACCTCAGACTCAAGAAGACTTTCGGATGAGAGACGGAATGTTTCTACATTTTTTTGCTTTGTTTTTTTTTTTTGTTTGTTTTTCTTGAATGTCCAGAGGACCAGATTTAATTTTTTTTGGATTTTTCTACCTGGATTATTGAGCATGCATCAAGATACTGATCTTTTTAGTTCTACATGCACTGACATTCTAAACTCTGTTGCTCCTCTGAAAATTAAAAAAAGGATGTCATGTCAGCCGTGGCTGAGCGAATCCACCCGCACGCTAAAACGCCAGTGCAGATGAGCTGAGAGGAAATGGAGTAAGGACAGACTGCAGGTTTCCCTGGATATCATTAAAGACTGCTTGTCAAATTGTCAGAGAGCTGTTAAAGCTGCTAAGACTGCTTTTTTATCTAATGTGGTTTCAAACAACAGTCACATACCTCAGGTTCTTTGTTAGGCCCGATCAGTGAAGAGCTGTGAAGGCCTATTGTAATCGCTCTGTTCAGGCCCGAGCTGCAATTTTTTTGGCAAATGAATCGCTCTGTTCAGGCCCGAGCTACAATTTTTTGGACCTAATGAATTGGCCTTTTGGGGGCCTTAACATATCCCAAAACTCACTAAATTTGGTGGACGCATCAGGACTGGTGAAAAATTTTGTATTTTAAGGGTGTCGCAAAAATCGCAACAGAAACGGCTCAAGAGCACCACATGGAAATTTTCAAAATACCCTTCACATTAATCTTAATTTGTCGTAGAAGCATGACATTTGGTACACTTGTCCAATTCCCCAAGATGCACAGAAAACCCTCTAGCACCAATGTTGTACGATAAACAGGAAGGTGGCCATTTTGGAATGCCGTCCCAAATTTCACACCTTTTTGAAGGTTTACAGCTTCTGCATTTGAATGAACTCCTCCTAGGGATTTCGCTCAATCAGTTTCAAACTTGGCCATTTTGTTCAAAAGGCATGGGGGATGAAAATGTATCTAAACTGTTCATTTTGGAGCATGCTGAAGAGGTGAGGCCAGACCTCAAAGTTTGACATCTCGCCATGAAAAACGAAACGCTAATAACTTCTACACGAAAATCGTCTGAGACATCAAACCTTCAGTGATTGAATGACATCCGGTCCCCTGCAAAACTGAATGGTCAAATCATATCACTTAAGCCACGCCCCCTGACAATAGGAAGTGTAAAGTTTTACGTTGAACAGTCCTTATCTGACCCCTGTGATCTAATCGGCATGGTAATGTGTCCAGTGACCGAAGACATGCTGGTGTAACTTCCATCCATGATAAATGGCCAATAGACTCCAAAGTGCCCCCTATATTATTCCTACAGTTATATCTCAGAGATACATCATCTGATCTGAACCAGATTTATTGTGCGTTATCAGTGAGCATGTCTACACACATTGGCTTCATGTTGGTGAGTCGGCTCCTTTTTCTGAACTTCTCCCTCCTGACTGCACTTTCTTCAGCTCTCCTCGGACCACCGGTAAAGGAGGTGGATTAGCCTCTGTTTTTAAATCTAGTTTTAAATGTCGGCTGATCCCCACTCATTTTTACCAGAGTTTTGAACTTCAGATGGTGGAGATAAACTTCTCTCCTCTTTTACTCTGCGCTACAATCTACCGGCCACCGAAACACAGCAAAGATTTTATTAAAGATTTTACTGATTTTATGACGGGACTTATGCTACGATACGACAGCTTTTTAATAATTGGTGATTTTAATTTGCACGTGTGCTGTGAGGCTGGACCTCTGGTCAGAGATTTTCTGAACATTATTGACTCTTTTAATCTCACGCAGTCCGTCACAGGTGCAACTCATGAAAAAGGACACACACTGGATCTGGTCCTGTCTTATGGGATAAATGTGTCATCTGTGGAAATCTGTGGAGCTCTTTTATCTGACCATCTACCGGTTCTGTTCACTGCGGTGGTCTCTGTCAGGAAGGAATGGGCTGGACCATCTGTGCGTTCTGCACGCGCAATTAATTCAAACACCGCGCTGCGCTTCTCAGCTGGCTTTAATGACTCTGTCTCCTGCAACCCTCAGTTCTGCTCTGCGTCCAACGTGGATGAGTTTACTGATCTTTTTAGTTCTGTGTGCACTGACATTCTGAACTCTGTTGCTCCTCTAAAAACCAAAAAGAGGAAGTCATGTCAGCCGTGGCTGTGCGAATCCACCCGCGCGCTCAGACGCCAGTGCAGACGAGCAGAAAGGAAATGGAGTAAAGACAAACTGCAGGTTTCCCTGGACATCTTTAAAGACAGCTTGATAAATTATCAGAGAGCTGTTAAAGCTGCTAAGACTGCTTTTTTATCTAACATAGTTTCAAACAACAGTCACAGACCTCGGGTTCTTTTTAATGTTTTTAACTCTGTTGTGAATCCTTGTGATGCTGCTCATGTTGCTGAATCTCCTGCACTGTGTGAACAGTTTTCTAAGTCTTTTATAGATAAAATCTCTGCTCTGAGACCCTCTTCAACACAACTTTACACAGACCCCTCCTCACTTCCTCCATCCTCAGCCTCCTTTGAACAGTTTGAGCTGGTGACTTTAGTTGTTTTAAAGGACATCGTGGACCACATGCAATCTTCTAATTCACCTTTGGACAGTGTTCCCTCTCGTCTGTTTAAAGAAGTTTTTAACACTCTTGGTCCATTAGTTCTTGTCCTAATTAA